CTGAGACGAGAAGTAGATGGTGCCTACTACCATTGCTGAACTCCCTAAAAGAGAATACAGTAGGAGGACCGGAGCAGAGTGGGAGAAAAATACAAGACAAAATGAAAAGAACTAAAATGACCAGGCTGCTGGTCTGATAGAGGCTGAGAGAGCTCCCAACACTGTGGCCCTTACTTTGAGTTTGGAACTCACCGTACCCCTGTAACTCATCTTGCAGCCAAGCAATAAACAGTCTTCTGAGATAAACTGCTCACTCCTTAGAACGAACAGCCAGTCAAGATTTAAAGGGCAGCACTTGTTCAAGGAAAATGCTCAGAAGGCAGGAAGGGGTAGGATAGAAGTCTTAATGGAAATGACAACCACAGAGAAGAAACAGGAAGAGTGCCGTGTGGGTTACTGTACTGCTGCCCTATGAAGACTGTAATGAAAGGCAACAAATTACAAAATATGTATGAGTGGGAACACGAGTTTCTCCGTAAATTTTCACACTAAACACGACAAAACATTTGCCAAAACATATCAATGATTGGGGCCAGATTAGGCAACGTCTTTTTGTCATATATAAGATCTCTCCAAGTCAGAGTCATTCACAGTGTCTAACCACAAAAGCCGCGCATATGTATGTATAAAAGAAAAGCATACAACTATATACGGATTTTCATAAAAACCTCTTTATCAAGGATAATTATGCAGCTCCAGTGAAATGTTTTTCGAGTGGAAACAAAACCCAAGAGATAAATGACTCCAACTCTCTCAATGATTACCTTCGCAATATAGGACAGCTGAGGACAATTAAATCTCAGAGCGGTCTTGAGAGAGAGGCTCCGTCAACTTCCCCTGTAATTATCGTCCCTCTGCTGCTTGTCAAAGTGTTTCTAGAGTTTGACTTCTTCCTTAAATGCTTTATGGAAAGAAGGTTCTGTGATACAATCATTTCAATGGAAGATGAATACTCTATTCCCTTTTAGGAATTTATCACATGCTTCATTCACAAACTCATTACAGAAATATTTAATGGGCTGTTTCCTATGTGTCAAAGGGTCCCAATGGTACAGTGGTTAAAGCCCTTGGTTGCTAACAGGAATGGTGGCAGTTCAAACCCACTGGCCACTCGGAGGGAGTAAGATGTGACAGGTTGATCCCATAAAGATTGACAGACTTGGAAACCCTGTGGGGTGGTGGTTTGGCTCAGACTTACAGGGTCACAGTGGTGGCTGAGAGGTTTTCTGAGTGCAGGTTGTAAGGACAGTGGGCTTCTCCCACTAGAAGTAGAGTTATTCTCTAACATTGGAAGGGTCTTCAGATGCTGGGCTGGCAAAAAAAGTGACTGAGCAGCGTCCTCTAGCATTTTGGCTATAACACTCTGCCCAGGAGGGACTTCAGACCTCTTTATTGTTCTTTTAGTAACTATAAAACATTACAACAATCAATTGCTAAGATCATATGGTTCTTGTTAATTGTTTTGTTAATGTGGTAAATTATTTTGATTTTTAAAAAAAATATTTTAATTGTGATTTTAACGAACGTTTACAGGGAAGTTAGATTTTCATTCATTCATTCATTGTTACACATTTTACTGAACCCTTGCCCTCCTTTCCCCCTCACCTAGTCCACTTTTCTTTAAAAAAATATTCATTCATTGTTGTACAATTACCTACCTCTCTCCCACCGCCCCCGTCTTCTTTGCAATGATATATTTCTTATTCTGGGATGTTATTGTACATATAATGCCTAATTATATATTCATTTTAGGCAGTTCTCTCTTTCTTTTGTTCCAATGCAATGGTCATTATCCACTCCTCCTATTCTCCTCCCAACCTCCCACGTCAGACCTGTTGTATAACAATGGTGTTATGCAGTATTTGTCCTTTTGTGACTGAGGTTTCACTCAGCATGATGTGCTCCAGGATCCCCCATGTTGTGTAATGTTTTACAAGTTCATTGTTTTTCAGTGCTGCTCTGAGATATCATCTCACCTCAGTAACAATAGCAAAGTTCAACAGAGCAGCAAACAATAAATGATGGTGAGGTTGTGGAGAGATTGGAACCCTTATTCACTGCTGGTAGGAGTATAAAATGGTGCAACCACTGTGGAAATTGGTTTGGCACTTTCTCAAAAAATTGGAGATTGTTTTTCTTATGTTGAACCATCCTTGAGTACATATTATGAATCCCACTTGAACATGGTGAGTTATAGTATTTTTTTATGTGCTTTGGATTCCATTGACTAGTATGAAGAAATACTCAAAATCACTGGCAATAAGAGAGATGCAAATCAAAATCACAATGAGATACCATCTCACCCAGTAGCAGTGGCAAAGTTTAACAAGTCAGCAGCTAATAAATGCTGCAGAGGATGTAGGGAGATGGAAACTCTTATACAGTTTTGGAGGCATAGTAAAATGGTACAACCATTCTGGAAGACAGCTTGAAATGTCTTTAAAAAACTGAACATAGAAATTCTATATGATGCAGCTATTCCACTGCTTGGAATATACCCTGAGAAAATGAGAACTGAGGCACAAACTGAGATTAGTATTCTAATGTTCATAGCAGCATTATTCACCATCACAAGAACATGGGAACAGTCCAAATGTCCAACTACAATCAAATGTATTGAGAAATTATGGTACATTTGCATGATGGCATAGTATGCAATACACAGGAGCAATGACTTTGAAAATCACTACCTAACTTGGGAGGGACTGTAGAGCATTATGCTAAGTGAACTAACTCAGTCCCTTAAGGACAGATACTGTATAAGACCATTATTGTAGAAATAGAAATATAACTAGTAAAATGTGTTTCAGGATCCAAGGGGGGGAGGGTAGGAGCAGAGAGCTGAGGAAGGGTAGGGGGGTTATCATAGAGTCACACAATTTGATGGGTAGAGGAAGGGATGGATAAAGGAAATGGGAAAGATCTGGTGTGAAAAACAATGTATGCAAACTTTGTAAGTAAACCAGCATAAAATAAAAATTTTATTAAAAAAAAACAAAACCCAAAAACATGACAAGGAGAGGAACGTGGGTGATTTTGTGCATAGCTTGTTACACCTGCTAACCAAAAACGTCAACAGTTTGAATCAACTAATCTCTCTGAGAGGAAGCTGGCAGTCTTGCGTAAAGATTTGCGGCATTGGAAACCAAATGGTATAAGCTGAACTTGACTAGATGGCACTGGTTCTGGAGTACTGTGAGTATAAAGCAGAATGACACTATACATCGTTCTAATGCTGTGAATGAAATTCACAATGTCCTTTGCTCTCACTTGATAGTTTTATACTATAGAGACACACGAGGGCACTATAGTCAACCAGCAATAGAATGGAAATGCGTCCATAGCCTCAGCAGTTTACCGGTGAACGACGTTATTCTTGGATCTGGACTTTGCCTGCTCTGTTTCAGGCAAAATAACCAACTTTGCAGGAATATCTAGGTCTCTTGGGGGATTTCATCGATGAAAATGGCCACTGGGATATTCTCCACATTGTCTAAAAATTATGACTTCGAGGAGCTCAGAACAGAAGAAGAATTTAATGTTTCCAGGTTACTCTTTAGGTTAAGTCACCCAAGAGAGGCAGAGTTGATAAGGGCTCCTACCCAGTAATCATTTCATCAGATGAAACCCCAAGCAGGTGAGAGACACCTGATTGAAAGAAATTTCCCTCAGACATGCCTCAATTTCCCCACCTTTAAATTGGTGGTGGTGAAACCTACTTAAGCCTGGAGTTTGCCAGTGAAGAAAAGGAAAGGGGACACGTACTATATCGTTGGCACTGAGTTTTACACTTAGAAAAGAAAGCCAGTCTGCTTTCTGGTGAAGGGAATTTTTCCAAGAGGTCGGAACCTGCTTGTCCCCAACTTGTTTCTCCAGGTCTCTGACCCTAGGGAACACTGGGTGCCAGGCGCTCCCCCACTTTCCTCCCCCGGCAGGGGTCGGACTGGGCTGTCTGCTCAGCGCCAGGCTCCGCGGGGTTACTAGCGGTCAAAGGTGCCTCAGGGCAAAAGGGCTGTTCCCGGCGGAAACCACGCTGGAGCGGAGGTGCACAGCCCTATCAAGGCTGGTTCGGTTCCGTCCACCTCCTTCTGCCTCCTCAGGGCCTAAGGAGACGCAGCCACCTCTGGCCCCGCCACCCTGGCAGCTGCTCGGAGGCTCCTCTGGGCCAAGGCCCCGGGGACAATGGGGGCGCAGCTGTAGAGAGGACTTGGGGGAGGAGCAGGCACCCCCAGTTTCTTAGAAGGAAATGGAGGGGGGAAGGAGATGTTAGAGGAAGGCAGAAACTCTCGGATTCCATTCAACAGGGGGTTTTTGCGATTCTGTCTAGTCTGTGTTGGCAGCGCGCCTTAGACGCCATACTCGCCTCAAGGTCCCCGTGGAGAGAGTCGCCTTGTCACCTAGTAAAGCTCTCACCACGTGCCAGGCGCCACATTAAGACTTCAGTGTAGCCTCCCCTCCCCCAGGAAGCACTCTCTAGTGGCGCTGGCTGCACTACTAACCCGAAGGCGGTTAGCCTCTCCAGGGGTTCGAATCTGCCAGTCTCTGCGCAACGGGAAAGAGGGGCTTTCTCCTCTTGTGCGATTTATAGCTTCAGAAAACCTTGTGGAGGGTCACCTAGGAGTCACCGACTCGATGGCCACGAATGAGTGCTTCCCTAAGCGGCGCGAACTTGTTATCACTCGCAAAATGAGGACCAAGAAATTGTCGCGGAGTTTATTGGACAAGTAGCTCGCCTGGGATTCTCAGCTATTGAGTGGCCTCTGGTTCTGTGCTGCCCTGAACCCCCGCCACGCAGCCCCTCAGCAGGGTCTACGCCTGGCTCTCGCGTCTGTCACGGGCCTCGCTGGGTGGGAGGGGGGAGAGGACCAAGGGAATGATCAAGGGACTGTATCCGATGACACTCCACGACCCAGGGAGCCGCGGTCGTTCTGCGACTTGGAGATGAGCTTCCTTCTCCAGGGATCGCATCCCCTATACGCGTAGGTTTGGAGGAGGGAGAGATGACCCCTGCGGGGCGCAGAGGGGTGGTGGGTCCTGGGTCCCGGAGCATAGTAGGGAGGAAGCGGGTGGCGGGAGACACGGCAAGCAGCAAAGCACAAGGGAGGACAGGCAGCCGGCTGCGCTCGCCCAGACTCCACGCCGTGGGTGTGTGGAGTTTTCATTCAAACTTTGGAGAGTCTCCGTGCGGGCGTCAGTGAAGGTGTGACCAATCAGATTCCAGAGACGGGAATAATTATGCAAATAACCATCTGGCGATGGGTCAGATGACTCCGATCCTTTAAACACCACCTAGCCAGGAGCTCCCCTGCCTGGGTGACAGCGGTGAGACTCTTTCCGTGCGCGGAGGACGCGGCTTGGGCCCTCTTATCCAGCCCGCACGCGCCACGGGGAAGCAGGTCCTCCTTTTCCACTTTCTCCTTGTAGCCCTTGGGCAGCTGTCGATCCCGCCGCCACTGCCTGTTGGAGTGAGGGCTGCTCGCTGTGCTCTTCCCAGCGCGGGCTGCGGACTTTTGGAGTTGGATTTAGGTTTGCAGCTTCAGGCGAGGGGGCGTGGCGGGGAGAATGAGGAGCCTGGTTCTCCTGTTCGGCCTCTGGAGGGTCCTTTGTTGCTTGGGCGCCAGAAGCCCTGCAGAGGCTGATCCCCAGGGACAGCTGCAAGGTAACGTGCAATTTGCTTTTATTTCTCCCTCACTTCTTTTCTGTTTGATGGGCTCCTCTTTTCTTCAGTCCCTCCTTGTTCCTGCAAAAGCCTCCTGTATCCCCCCCCCCGCCCCCGCCGTCTTGGGATTTTCTCCCCCTTTCCAGCCTTGAGGTCCGCTTGTTACTCCGGAGCGGCTGGTTAGAACATCCTGCAGGGTCTTCCGAGAGGCAACAGGCGGGCGCAGGTTGCGCGCGCGCTCCAGCTCACTCACTCGCCTCGCTCTCTTGCGTTCTCTGGTGCCCTTCCTTCATTAGTGTTGCCCCTAAAGTTGAGGCGCCTGCTAGCTGCTCTTAAGTGTTGTCTTTATCTTTGAACCTAGAGATTTGAAAGACTAGAAGATTCTTGGGAAAGGCTCTGCAGCCTGACACCTCTCCTGTAATTTTTGGAGCACGATGTTTGAAGGTTACTCTTAAAAGGGCAGCTGGCTTTGATTTGATTAGTGGTTGTAGGAGGTGGGTAACTTGTGCAGAGAAGCGTCTGGGCTTATTCCTCCAGGTTGTCAGTCTCCTTCTTCAAAACGCTTATCCCCCAACACCGCCTCCCTTTTCCTCTTTGCCCTCCTCTCCTGAGCTTCTAGGTCTTCTACATTCTGGGTGCCACTCAAGGCAGCCCTATGAACAACAGAGCGGAACGCTGTCCTATCCTCGGTCATCCTCATCTCTGACACACTTGAGCCCTTTGCTGCAGTCACTGTGTCAATCCATCTCATTGAGGGTTCTCTTATGGCAGCCTCTTACATTCTCTGAGGAGTTGGATGAAGTGCCCCATAGGACTGTGTGTGGGTTGTTATGTTGTGTGCTGTAGAGTCTGAATGACTCCATAGCTGACCCTCCAGCAGGTTTTCAGGGGCTGTAATTTGGTGCCTTTGAGCTGTGGTGTTGGAGAAGAGTATGGAATATACCATGGGCGGCTAGGAAAACGGACAGGTTTGTCCTGGAGAGGGTGAAGCCAGGCTGCTCCTTGGAGGCAAGGATTCTGAAGCTTCATCTGACATATTTTGGACATGCTGCAAGGAGGGACCAGTCTTTGGAGAGGGACGTCATGCTTGGAAGGGTGGAGGGACAGTGCAGGAGAGGAAGACCCTCAATGAGATGGATTGATTCAGTGACTGGGGTAATAATGGGGGCAGATGAGTTGGAGATGGTGAGATTGGCACAGGATAGGGCAGAGTTTAGGGCTGTTGAATATAGGGTCACTATGAGTCGCAGGCGACTGAATGGCACATAATAGCATCAACAACAATCTCAAGAGAAGAGCTTGCCCATCTTTTTCCCATGGAGCAGCTGGTAGATTAGAGTATACTTTTGGGTTGTCAGGGCAGCTCCTTAACATTGGCCACCAGAGTTTCCTAGTTTGCTGACTACTAAATCATGGGAAATCCTCAGTCACTTTATCTTCTAGTTCTGTGGAGGCTGGACCGAATGTTTTAGTCCATGTCTCAGTATGTGCATATGAGAGAGAAAGGTTAGCTTGGATGACTGGGAGAGCTTTCGTGTCTTGAACATGTTACCGACTCTAGCACTAACTAGAAATGTGGCACATTTGTCCTGGAAAATGTCTAAGTTCTATCTAATGTCAACATTGGGCACCATGTTTATTGCTGATTGCATCAGAGAATCAGGGAATAAAACTAATCTCTGCCTGCAGGAAGTCTACAGTTCAAAGATGGGAAGACAGATAATAAACTCATTAAGGCGCATAAAGTGTGGGCAACCTTACACCTGGGGGAGAGTGGTTAATGGTTGAAAGGTGGGCAGTTGGAATCCAAGTAGTGGCTCTCTTGTGAAAGAAAATACCTCACCATCTGCTGTCCTAAAGATACAAACTCCCAAAAAATCCCTCAAACTTAAAGCTGTTGAATGAGAACTGACTCAAAACCTTACAGTGAATTTTCAAAGGCTGTAACGAAATTGCACTGGAGGAGATTGGCCATCTTCCTTCCAGGGAGTTTCTGCAGGATTCAAACCTGTGGAGAGGCTGCCTCTTTGGCTTGGCAATGCAGATCCCTAGGCAGCCTAGAACACCCCATGAGGATACTGCAATTAGTGAACAGGAACAGGATATGTATAACTGTTCAGAAGGGGAAGTGGAGAACAAGGACAGGAGAAGAGGGAGGAGAACATAGTAATTCTATAAAACACAAGGTATAGGAATAAATGTATAAAACACAATGTATAGGAACGAATATATAAAACACAATGTATGTGAATGGGGGGAAAAAAGGCATTGATTAATACGAATTCAGTGTATAAAACACCAGGTACACAAATGATTGTATAAAACACAATGCATATGAATGAAGCACAATATATATGAATGATTATATGAAGTCAATAAAAACCCCCAACAAACCCCATGGGGCAGTTCTGTATTCCAAATAAGGACATTGTGCGCCAGAATTGATCTGATGGCACCTGCCAAACTTCAGTGTAAAAGAGGCACCTGTGCCCTGGGGCTGCATCAGGACAGTCGGGGACAAGGATGATCCATCACCACAGTGTTAAAGCGGAGAAAGACAGGAGTGCTCCGAGTGGGCAAGCTGGGACAGTTATTATATGACCCTTAGGAAAGGCTGTACTGAGAAGTTGACCATTGAAGAAGGAATTACAGGAGGTGAGAGAGCGCTCTGAGGACGTGTGACTGGAGAGAGCGACCATCAAGTCCCTGCTGGCCACAAAGTCAGTGTGACAGCGGGAGAGAATCCTGGGTTCAGAAGGCAGATGCTGCAGTGAAACGGCATCTGGATGTGGGGCTTTACTCACTGGTCTCTCCCAGTCAGCCGGCTGACCCCTTTTCCTTTTCTTCTGAGCTGCTCCATCTGGCTTTTCCAGCAATACCTCTCTAGTGGAAGCTGAGGGGATGTTAAACTGGTTATAGTTATGGTTCAGATTTCTGCCGTTGGAGGGCATACACTCACTACATTCATGATGCTTAACCTGAGGTCAGCCCTTGAGCGTTTAGCTGAATTTTCTAGAACCTTATGCCTCTTACACCTCTCTCCCTTTCTCCCCCCCCCCCCCGTCTCTATCTCTGTCTTCTTATCTCCCCACCCCCCTATCCATCCTACTCATGACTCTTTCCATGATTCTTTTTCTTTTTGCTTCTTGATTCTGGCATAAGTTAAGCTTCTGCTCTTTTTTTTTTATTTTTTTTTAAAATTATTATTTTGTGTGTGTGTGTGTGTCTGTGTACCGTCAGATCAGATCTGACTGGTACAGGAGGAGATTGTCCCTCCTTTCCTGGCAGACCATCTGGTGGATTCGAACCATGCACCTCTGGGATTGCAGTGTAGCTTCTCGCCACTAGGCCACCAGAGCTCCCCTAAGCTTCTGCTTTTGAGATGGTAATTTTTGCCCCACCCCTCTCCCTTGGCTGGTTGACAGAATAGTTTTCACTCTACCTTCTTAGCCTGCTATCAAGGGATGGTTTCCAGAATGGATTGAAAGAATGCTGGGTGGAGTCCATTTCGGACTGTCTCAGGTATAGTGTGGTGACGACAGTGTCAGTCAAGTAATAGAGGCCTCAGGGACCATCGCTGACATCGGCTATGCTTTGGGAGCCATAGAGCTGGACAGGACAGTTTTGCTACTTTTCTGAGGCTCCCTAGGGCTTCAGCCATTCATTTAACAGGCATGGTGAATGCTGGGCACATGTCCAGTACTGTAAAAGATGGGGAAATGCGTGAGGTCTTTGGAGTAAGTTCTGGATTTAGGACAAGAACATTAGAGAGAGTTCAGAGTACAACTGGGTTAAGGGTCTATAGCCTTTTACCTCCAGTCCCAAAAGCTCTTGAAAATTTGGTAACTTCTTTGGCATCAAGATCTGGCTTTACCTGACTTGAACTCATTTAGCAGCAAAAACCATACCTGAACTGATGAGTGGCCTTGAAGATGAGTAGTTGTCTATTTCCCTGCAGAAAAATGAAGTGTGTTTGATTCATGGGAAGTGCCCTGGGACTTCTGGGAGTTTGACCACTAACTCTTTGATGACGTGCATTGCGATACCTTTCTCAAACCTGGAAAATCTTGAATTTTGAAACTCAATATATCCCAAGACTTTCAAAAGAATAGAGGCGATCCTCTTTTCCAGTTCATGAGCATGATGACTGGGAATTCATACTTCTGTATGACATATGCCACCCATTAAACCTTGACATAGACACACTACCCATCTGATGTGAGGGGGGGAAAAAGAGAATGGAAGACTTCTACTCTAAGAAATTGAAGACTGACAGAAGGTACTCTAAGAAATTGAAGACCGACAGAAGGTACAAGGAAAGCAAGAGAACTATTTATTTCAGAGTCACAATTATTAAAATTAAGATGTAATGTTCTTTGTTGTTATTGTGTAACATCAAATCAGAACGAACCCATAGCCGAATCTTTAAAGGGTTTTCAGAGGCAGTTAATCTCATAGGAGGAAATTGCCCATCTGTCTCTCATGAAGCAGCTGGTGGATTCAAACTGTGTGCCTTTGGTATGGCAGTGCAGCTCCTTACCACTAGGGTACCAGAGTTCCTCTAGCTGTAATGAGTCTTCATTTTTATTGTTGTTTTAAGTATAGACTTTGTGAGGTCTTTTTTTTTATTTGAGGGAAAATTTAAACACCATATTGGTTTTCTTTCAATCACATACATTTTATTTTATAACTTTGTAATTGCAATCTCATTGTATCATTCCTGTGTATTTTTAAAGCATTAATTGCAATAATTTAATATAGTAATGGATAATCTTAAATGTTGTTGTTGTTATGTGCCATCAAGTTGTCTGCGACTCATAACGACCCTATGTATAATAGCCCTAAACTCTGCCCTATCTTGTGCCAATCTCACCGTCTCCAACACACCTGCCCCCGTTATTACCTCAGTCACTGAATCAATCCAACTCATTGAGGGTCTGCCTCTCCTATGCTGTCCCTCCACCATCCCTCTCCAAGGACTGGTCCCTCCTTGCAACATGCCCAAAGTAAGTCAGCTGAAACTTCAGAATCCTTGCCTCCAAGGAGCAGCCTGGCTTCACCCTCTCCAGGACAAACCTGTCCATTTTCCTAGCAGTCCATGGTACATTCAATACTCTTCTCCAACACCACAGCTCAAAGGCATCAATTCTCCTTCTATCATCCCTAGTCATTGTCCAGCTCTCTGATGCATAACAAGTGATTGTGAAGACCATGGCATGTATCAGGTGCACCTTAGTCTCCAGACTGACATCTTTGCACTTCAGCCCTTTAGAGAGGTCTCTAACCACAGACTTTCCCATCGCAATATGTCTTTTAATTTCCTGGCTGCTGGTGCCAAGTGTTGACTGTGTATCCAAGCAAACCAAAACTTGTAAATGAGCTGCCCCTTTTCTAATGTCACCAGCAGTCTTTTGGGAGGTGAGGATGTGAGGAGGGAGGGAGTGGTCCTCACTCAGAAGATGTGAAAACTGAAACCCTGGGATGTTAGGCAATTTGTTTAAAGTTGGACCAGAACTAGAGCCTAGACCTTTGCTCACCTGGCCTCCTGGGTGTGATCATAAGGCATTCTTTCTCCTCAGATGAGTTCTACACAGTCGAGGATGAAGGGGCCATTGCCAAGCCCTCCGTGAAGTTTAACCTCCGCACCTCTGTGGACCCAGATCACGAAGGATGTTACTTCTTCCTTGGCCACAACCAGTCCTTAGAAGATTGCGGTTTCAACATCACAGCAAAAACCTTTTTCATCATTCATGGATGGACGGTGAGCTTTGGGGCAGGGAACTCTGCAGTTTCATGTGGGGTTTGGTTTCTTTTGCTTTGCTCAATTAAAAGAATACTATTGGCCTCCCCTCCATATTTCATGTAGGGAGATCCATCCCTTTGAGGTGTGACTTTCTAATAAATCTATCTTTTACTATTTTGTTGTTGCTGTGTACCATCGAATTGGAACCGACCGATAGCGGACCCTTCAGCAGGTTTTCAGAGGCAGTTGATTGCATGGGAGGAGACTGCCCATCTTTCTTTTTTTTTTTAAAAAGGAACACTGGCGCTTCTAGATCTCCTCCTTCTTGTGGCTTGCTTGTATTTCAGACATGTGTGAAGGATGTAATAAGTAGCACTGTGTTTAAGGGGGCAAACTGGGCTCCTGCAGGGTGGTATTTAATGCTGGCACCAGTGGCTTTCAGAAAGTGGCTCTCCTCAGGGCAGCAGCCCAGTTCCACCAGCTCTTGAGGGCCCCTCTAATTACGCTTAATTACGCTGGTCAACCACTGCCTTGCGGGAGCCAGGTCTCTGCCTGAGAGGAGCTGAACTGGAGCAGCTTGCCTGGCTCTGAGACGCTCGGACGAGCCAGCTGGGCGGGCTGGCCACTGTTGGCTTGGTGCCCTCCTGTTTGCATAGAGAGAGAGAAAGCCTGGTTTAAAGGCATGGAGCCTCTTTATGAGCCCTAACTGAGCAATTCACACTGAAAGGCCCATGACAAACTTCTACAAAAAGGGATTTTAATGCCCTGCTTCAGGAGCTTTTGACCAGCAAGGGATTTATTCATTCATAGAATGACGTCTGTAGGAAAATGGCACTAGAAAGGGAGCAGGTTTCTGCCTGGGCTAATTGGGAGGGGACGTTCCTTCTCTTAATGACGAGAAATCAATATTTGTTGCATGTTTTCTGGATCTTCAAGTCTGTCACCAGCTTTTGGGGTCATGTTCAGGAAAGGTAGGCTCTGATCTTCCGTGTGATTGAAAGAAAGATTAATGCCCAACCATGGTCATTCCCCAGTCGACAACTAAAATCATGCATTTGGATCTTTTTGCAGGGCCCCTGTCAAAAATGCAAATACAAACAGTCCATGACTTACAAATGAGTTGCATTCCAGAAGGTTCTTTTGTAATCTATTTGGAACCGACAACAGCAGTTTCCCATAGAAACCCAGATTCTAAATGGTTTTTGGGTTCCCAGGAGAGGCACAGAATATTTATCTCATAATGCACTTGTGGGTAGATTTACAACTAGAACTGATCACTGTTTGTAACTTGGTTTCTGTGGGAAAATGTGCTCTGAGTTCTAATTGGGAATTCCAGGGACAAATCTTCCCTGTTCTGGGGGGGGGTCAAGAAGAATGGCAGAGCTGGGCTGTGGGAAGGGGCCACTTGTTAACTCGACCTTTTCCTAGGAGAAAGCATCTCCCTGCATCTCTCAGGGATAAGTTGATTCTCCAGGGCAACCCCCGCAGCTGCCTCTGAATGATGAAGTAGGCTTGCCTGACTTTGACAGGGACTCTCAGACTAGCCTCATGCCAGTATCGCCACCAATACATACATTAGCATAGCACAGCACAGCACAGCACAGCACAGCACAGCACAGCACAGCACAGTATAGTATAGCTTAATAAGGCCTCCAAATGTCTTAGGTACCAACTATTAAAGTTTGATGTGGAAAACTAGGGATATAGGAGCGATGGAGGACAAACATCCATGAAGCGATTTTGCCTATGGTTGTCCCTACTCATATGCCAATATATGATCCCTGAGCAGAAGAGGTGAATCTGGAATCGAGCTGGGGAGAAAGCTATGGAACTGATTTCTATATTCATTGTTATTATGTGCCCTTGACTTGGACCAACTCCTTGCTCCCTCCCCAGCAGGTTTTCAGAGGCTGTAAGTTGCACAGGAGATTATCCATCTTGTCTGTCTTTCTCCCGAGGGGCAGCTGGCGGATTCGAACCACGTGCTTTTGGGTTGGCACTGCACTCCTTACTACTAAGGCCACCAGAGTCAGCAAACACTTTGCTCATGTCTCTGCAGATGAGCGGCATACTGGAGAGTTGGGCGTTCAAACTTGTCTCAGCCATTCATACAAGAGAGAAAGAGGCCAATGTGGTGGTGGTTGACTGGCTTTCCCTGGCTCACCAGCTTTACACAGACGCAGTCAATAACGCCAGGATGGTGGGCCACAGCATCGCCACAATGATCAACTGGCTGCAGGTAACTGGAGTGGGTGGGGAGGAATTTCTCATAAGCAGGGTCTCTAACCCAAACTTTCTGAGGAAATATCATGCAGACTGCTGCGGTGGACTTCAGGAGTGTGATCAAAAGTCTGGGGATTAAAATGTTACTGAATTAAATATTTCTTGAAATTGCCCGAAGGTGAAGAATTTAGAAAGTGTTTCCAGTACTGTGACCTCTCTAGATTTTTCCTGTTCCTTTATTTGCTAGAAGAAAGTTTGTCTTACAATATATTACTTGCTGATTTGCGAAACTGAGGCCCTTAGACTGATTGGAAATGGCTAAGAGTCAGGATTGGCTTGCAATCTGAAATACTGACTGAGGTCTACATTTGCTGTGGAAGAGTGACCGATGTGAACTGTTCTGGGGAGTGGAGAGAGGGTTAATGAAAACAGAGGCAGCCTAACAACTCTTTTAAAGTTATCAAGTATGGAAAATAGACCTGGAGGTCTTAAATGGACTTTTGATAGGTTAACGATTGACCTGAGATTGGTGGGTATACTTGGAGCTGAAAGTACACCAGCAAAGTGGCCTGATGAGCTGCACAATTCCAACCTAACCTTCCTTTTACCTGTAGAATCGGATGCCTTCTGATGGCATTTTGGTCTGGATTTTTTGATCACACTCTCTCAGTCTTCTGTTGAAATTATCTGTAGTGCTTGCTTGTAGGAACCTTGGCCTTTGGTACTTTCAGCTGAGTGCCCTGTTCTATATGGTGCTTCAATTCTGGGGTCCCAGCTGGGTTTGTGATCAGGAGATTGGCAGGTCATGGAACCAGGGTGAAGGTCAGGGCTCAAGGAGGTGGGCACAGAGCTTACTGCTGTGACTAGCATTTTAGTCTCTATTAAGTCTGGTGGCCTTGACCTCTACATGGCTTTCCTCTTCTCTTAGATATTGCAAGGAAGAACGGAACACATGTAGGGGAAGGGTCAGGTGTGCAGCCACTGGTCACTTCCTGCTCCACCCCCAATCCTTGGCATATGAAGTGCCATTGAATCCTTTTGACCTTCTCTTACCTGGAGTCATTGCCAGATATATTCCTGGCAAGTCTCTCCTCCAAGCTCCTGAGCCTGCTCTTCTGATGGGATGAACTGTTGTATTTTGTGACCCTGTGGGCCTCCCACTGTGCCCTTGACTGCATATGCTTTTGTGACCTCCTGCAGGGGAAGGAGGATTTTTCCCTTGGAAATGTTCACCTGATTGGATACAGCCTTGGCGCACATGTTGCTGGATATGCTGGGAGCTTCGTGAATGGAAAAGTGGGCAGAATCTCAGGTAAGTGTGGCCTCCTCCACTCACTGTTGGTGGTCTGTGAGCTCCCTCAGCTTCTTTGACAACCTGAGTTTCCTGTACCAGCTTGTGCCCAAGTAGCTTGAATGAGTCATAGAACATTAACTTTGAAAGGTGCCTGTGAGAACATCCAAACCTAATTGAACTTGTGTAGGACCCACAAATAGAAAAGGATGCTCCGGTTGAATCTGGGTACATGAAAGGCGGCATTAGCCGTGCCAGAGTCCTTGGTTAGTACAAATGGTTAAAGAACTTGGATACCAGTCAAAAGATTAGAAGTTGGAGTCCGCTTAGAGAGGTGCCTTGAAAAAACTGCTGTAAACTCGGCCACTGAAAATCCAGCGGCGATCGATGCTCATGAGGTGTCCATGAGCCCCACACCGTCCTCTCATAGCATCTGCTTTGGTTTCTGACATTTTGTGCCATTTGGGCTTCCTTTTCACTGGCCGGTCACCAGAGAATCATTTTAACAATCACGGATCTAGTTCAACGCGGTCCCAGAGACACAGCTAGTAACTGAAGACCAAAACTAATGTGGAAAGTTGGCCTCTGTGATCCTGACAGTTCAGCCCATCATGTTGCAAAGCCTCATGGGAAAAGAATGAATGGTAGATTCTCTATTTTATCCATCAACTGCCTCTTTCCAATGCTTCAGTGGCATGTACAATAATTGCCTGTTTAAGTAATTGTTTGGGGCTAACTTTTGTGATCCAAGAGGCCCTTCTGATTCTGATATCCATGTGGTTAATAAAAAACTGAGGTTTGTGTCATGAACTCTTCTAAAACTCAAAACAAACACCACCACAGACTTGATTCCAACTCGCAGTGGCCTTATAGGATGGAGTGGAACTGTCCGTTAGGGTGTCCAAGGCTGTAATCTTTATGCGATCAGCTGTGACACCTTTCTTTCATGGAGTAGCTGGGGGTGGTGGTGGTGGTGGTGTCAAACCACTGATGTTCTTTTGGTTAACAGCTGAGTGTTTTACTGCTGTGCTACCAAGGGTCCTTCATAAATTTTTTTTAAATTAGCTTGGGTTTTATTTTGGAGGGAAAAAAGCACAACTGATTTAGTTGGGGTCATAGGCAAAGAATAGTACTTTAAGCAGTGGATTCCCTCAGGGGCACAGAGGGCTTGAGTAAGCCTCAGGTCTGTTCTCCTTGAACCTGCATCGCTTCCTCTCCCAGGGCAGAGGCCCATTCACTTGGGTAGAAAAATCAGAAGACTTAGACCTCAGCTTCCCATCATGGGTCTCGATCTTTTTCACAAGCACAGACTTGGAGCTGGTGCACCTGAAGGTGCTGGGTCCTCTACCATAACCAGAGCCGGCTGCAGCAGACACCGGGGGCTTGTGAGGCAACCCTGCGGGCCAGGCTCCGCCCACCAGCACAGCCACTGGTGGTCTTCGTATGGACGCTCCCGTTCCAGTTCTGCATCCCAGACTCTAGCCGGCTCTCCTCCCCCTCCAGCAGCTTGCAGTAGGTGGGGATCTTGTTGTCCAGGGCCAGCGTGAGTTATGCAATTCCTGGTACTCATGCAGCTGCCAGGCTATGTCCTGCTTGGCTCATCGCGGGGCGGCCTTGAGCTCGGCCAGCTTGTTGCTGGCGTCCTGAATGGCCAGCTCCCCACGAGGCTCAGCATCTGCAGTGGCAGCCTCCAGGAAGTTCTCCGGCCTTTGGATCCCTCGATCTCAGCCTGGAGCGGTTGATATTCTCAGTCTTTGCACGAGGAAGATCTTCTCCATGCTTTCCAGCCAGTGTCTGCAGCTCCTCAGACGTGGATCTGGTACATGTTCTCAGCCTCCACTGGGCTGTGATTGGCAGTCTCCTCATTATGGGCCTTGACATCAGCCATGATGCCGTTCATGTCCAGGGAGCGCCTGTTATCCATGGACAGCACCATGGACGTGTCTGTGATCTGAGACTGCTGCCTACAGAGCTCCTCTCCATACACCTGCCTGAGAGAAGTTCACATCATCACCCAGTCCTTCCGGGCGGATCTCCAGCTCTCCTTTGTTCATATAAGCTTCATTTACGTCCTTCTTGATGAGAACAGATTTGTTCTCCATCTCTGTTTGTTTCTTGATCTCATCTTTGTTCTTCTTCTTGAAGTCTTCCACCAGCCCCTGCATGTTGCCCAGCTCAGCTTCCAGCTTCAGCTTCTCCTGGCCAAGGGTGTCCAGCTGGTGCCTAAGGTTGTTGATACAGCCCTTGAACTTGGAATCCATGTTGCTACAGGAGGGTCCCCTTCATCTCCAGCATCTTGTCTATGAAAGAGACCACCTCATTCTTGAGGCTCTTCATCTGCTCCTTCTCCTGGGTGCCCACTGCCTGAATTTTGGGGTCCAGCTCCAATTCGATGGGGTTCATCAGGCTCTGGTTCACTGTGACGGTGGTGATACCTCCCATCTCGCCCCACTGGCAGACCTCCCTGGAAGATGGTACTGCTGCCCACCTAGGAGAACATGAGGAGCTGATGTGGCAGCAGGCTGACTCCTTTAAGAGTGGCTACTACAGGCCAGGCTCTGGAGGGGACATCTTGGAGGGCTTCCGGGTTACCCTGACGAGCACGGGGAGGCTGGAGGTGAAGCAGCCGCAGAATCAGACAGAGGATCAAGAACGGCCCCGGAAGCTGCTTCTTCCTTCACGAACCTTTAGCCAGCTTTGTGTTGTTTTTACATTAAATATTTTTTTCTTTAAATTATTTTTTTAATGCAACATATATATATATTTTTTTACAGCATATTCTTTTTAATTTCCCGCCCATTCATTCATTGTTGCACAATTTCTGCCCTGCTCATCCCTCCCCCTCAGTTTGTTTTTTCTCTTTGTAGGAAAAAAAAATTCTTTCATTGTTATACAATCTCCCCCCACCCCAGTCCAAAGTTCACTTTAATATATACATTTATTTTTCTGTAATCTTGTCATGAAAGTAATATCTAATCTTATATTCCTTTTTAACAGTTCTCTCCTTCATCTGTTTCAATGCAGTTAGCAAAAGTTTACAGATCATATTGATTTTTCATACAATTGTTCATTGCTATTTTGCTTTATTAATTGCCCTTGGTTAATGTAATTAATTGCAATGCCTAACCAATCCCCTTTAGTTAGCTTTTAATATGGGAGTTTGACATAGATAATTTCACAGCTGTACAATATTAAGTTCTCTTTCCTGTATTTCTTCTTGTTGCACACCATCGGGTTGCAACTGATTCATTGGTGACCCTCCAGTGGGTTTTCAGAGGCAGCAAATCACATGGGAAGAGTTTGCTCATCTTTCTCATGCAGACCAGCTTGTGGATTCGAACTGCTTACCTTTGGTTCAGCAGTGTAGTTCCTTACCACTAGGCCACCAGAGCTCTCTCTCATATTTGGAGTGAGAAGCTCTACTGTAATCCCAAAGGTACACAGATCGAATCCACCGGCTGCTCAGTGATCCTATAAAACAGTGGAGCTGTCTATGGGATTTTGAAGTCTGTGATCTTTGTGGAAGTCGACTGCTGGGCTCAGCCCACCTGTCTGTAGGCAGCAGCTGTTCTAACCACCGTGCCACCAGAGCTTCTAGGACGATTTTGGCTTGGCAACCCCACGAGGCAGTTCTCCCGTGTCCTGTAGGGGGTCACCTATCAGCAGACGTCGACATGATGATGCCTGACACCACCAACATTTCTCTCTCCCCTCATCCTAGTTAAAAAGCCAGTTGTGTAACTTTCCCCCCGAGTCCATGGTTCGGGGTGAGAGTCAGAGCTGGTGGGGCCAGGCCGGTGGGTGAGGGCAGGGCTGGCCGAGGTGCCTGCCTGCCCGCAGCTCAAGCCGCCTGCATTCCTGCTACGCAGCCTGGTGTCCATGGTACTGGCATCTGGTGCGGACCTTTGTTCACACCAGGCCTTCTCTTGTGCTAGTTGCAAAGCACAGTGTTCACTCTTCTCTTTATTCTCTTCCAGTGGACATGAGGGGCAGGACGAGGCCACCTGTGTCAGTGCTGTCAGTTGTCCTTGCAGCCTCTAGGACTGGGCACTGGGAGGGGCACTGCTGTCTGCATGCCTTCTTTTAGGGTTGCAGTAAACATGAACCCACCACGCAGCCTGGTGGCTCAATTCTAATGGAATCACACACACACTGACTGACTAAAACTTGCTCTGAAAACTCTTTAAGTGTCCATCTCCATTAGCTCTCATCAGTGACCTGTGTCACAAGTTTATCTCTCAAAGCCAAAGGCAGAAATTTGAATCCATCCATTGCTCCGAGGTAGAAAACTGAGCAATCTCCTCCTATGTGACTTAGAGCTTCTAAAAACCTGCTGGAGGGGTCAGCTATGACTTGGTCCTTACCTGACGGCAATGAGGGTTTTTTTTAGTAGATAGTAGAAGGAGCCAAGGTGGCACAGTGGTAAAAATGTTCTGGTGCTAACCAAGAAAGATCAGTGGTTCAAACCCACCAGCCACTCCTCCGGGGAAAGACTTGCCAGTCAGCTTTCCTAAAGATGTACAGTTTGGAAAGATTGTGCATTAATTCCATAGTAGATGGAGAAGAGATTGAAGTTGTGAACAGTTACAGCCTGTTTGGCTCTACAAGCAACAGTCTTGACACCAGCAGTCAGGAAATTAAAAGATGAATTGCACTGGGAAAATCTGCTGTCAGGGACCTCTCCAAAGTATTGAAAAGCAATGATGTTAGTCTAGAGACTAAGGTGTGCCTGATCCAGGCTGTGGTCTTTGCAATTGCTTGTTGCTATGCATCAGAGAGTTGGACAATGACTAAGGATGACAAAGGAATTGATCCCTTTGAACTGTGGTACTGGAGAAGAGTCTTGAACATACCATGGACTGCCAAGAAAACAATTAGGTCTGTCTTAGGGTGAAACTAAGTTTCTCCTTGGAGGCTAGGATTTTGAAGCTCTGTCTCACATACTTTGGACATGTGACACGTATCCAGGAGGGATTGGTCCTTGGAGAAGGACATCATGCTTGGAAGGGTGGAGGGACAGCACAGGAGAGGAAGACCCTGGGAGGAGATAGATTGATACAGTAACTGGGGCGATGGGGGTAGGTGTGTCTGAGTCAATGAGACTGGCTCAGGATAAGGCAGGTTTCAGAGCTGCTATCTATAGGGTTGCTATGAGTCGCATGCTACTCGAGGACACTTAACAACCATAACAACAATGGGGCAGTTCTACTCTGTCTACAGGGCTGCTATGAGTCAGATTCAGTTGGATGGCAGAGGCTTGATTTGGTTTGGTTAGACAATAGCTCTGCCTTTGTTTATCCCCACATGACCCCCTGAAACCTCACAGGATACTCTCCCGGCTTTACTGAGTTGGATTCTCTGAGCTCGACTCTGTTACCCATCTTTCAAGACTCATTTCATTTTTTATTTTTATATTATTAATATAAATTTTAAATTATTAATGTATTTTTAATTTTTCTTTTTTTACTAGTTTATTTACAAAATTCTAAAACAAATTCTTTCAATTTCCCTCATCCCCTCACCCATCAAATTGTACAATCCAATGATTAATCTCCCCTTCCCCCTGCACATTCACATCCCTCTGCTTCCAGCCTCTCCCACCTCTCCTGGATCCTAATACTCATTCTACAATAATGGTGGAGACTCATTTCTTGATCACATTCTCTTCCATCTTGGGTTCTCCAGACCAGGATTTCTCAGCCCTGTTGCCAGCTTGGTGATGGTAATGCCTTGTTGTAGGAACTGTCTATTGAGTTCGATGCTGTGACCCTGGCCTTTACCCAACAGAGTCCACTAGCTTCCTCTCAGTCCTGTATACTGTCTCCTGTCAGGACGTGGTAGCATGAGGCATGCCAGGGACAATGACGATATTGAGTAAATGGAGGTGTCAGGACAGGTGAGGACTTTGGAAAGGGGGCTCGTTCCTCAGCAGACCTTCTGCGTCTTGACTCCCGGGACAGGGAGCAGCAGACGCTGTCTTCATTCCGCACATGCTGCCTTCAGTTGGCTGCATGGGCCTGACCTTGACTCCCTCTTCTCACTGCAGGTTTGGATCCAGCTGGGCCCATGTTTGAAGGGGTGGACATCCACAAGAGGCTCTCCCCAGATGATGCAGACTTTGTGGATGTCCTCCACACCAACACGCGCTCCTTTGGCTTGAACATTGGCATTCGGATGCCCGTGGGCCACATCGACATCTACCCCAACGCCGATGACTTCCAACCAGGCTGTGGATTCAATGATGTCTGGGGATCATTTGCAATTGGAAGTGAGTGACTTCTTTTCTACTGCATGTGGAGGTTGGACTCAGTTGTCACTTCTTTTCAACCCACTCACCAACTCCTACTCCCATCGCCATCAAGTCCATTGTGGTTTATAATCACCAGACCAGGGTCTTTTCAGTCACTTGTTACACAGCTGAGAGCTGGACAATAAATCAGGATAACAGAAGAATTGATGCCTTTGACTTGTGTAAGAAAAGAGTACTTGAACATTCCATGCACCAGCAAAAGAACCAAGAGACATGTCTTGAAAAAAGTGCAGCCAGAGTGCTCCATGGAGACCAAGATGGTGAAGCATCATCTTTCATACCTAGGGCAGGTTGCTAGGAGAGTTTATTCCTTGGAAAGGGACATCATGCTTGGAAAGTGGGAGGGTTGCAAAAGAGAGGAAGACCCTAATGAGATGGGCTGACATGTGACTACAGCAATGGGCTCAAGTGTGTCAGAGACGACAGGGAGGATAGAACAGGATAGGGCAGGGTTTAGGTGACTGTATGTAACTATGAGTCACATTTGACTTACAGCACCTAAGAACAATACTGGGAGCAGGACTGGCATCTACTTCTAAACAACATGCCTCTGGAATCTCTATGGGCTTTGATAAATGCCGATAGTTATAGAAAGGCTTCAGGCCTTTTGTTCATAGGGTCGTCATGAGTCGTGCCTGACTCAGTGGCAATAAACAAGAACAACAAGGACAATAATAGCAGCCTATCGGTTATATATAGTTAGCCAATCCCTGCACTTGGTGGTGTTTAGTACCCGATTAATTTCTAGTCTTTTATGTCTCACTTCTATGAGAATTTAGTGACTTTGGGCTGCATCAACCTCTTCAGCACTTACTACACACACTCTCTTGTTTGTTGTTGCTTTGCGTGTATTGGTGCTGTTTTGGCACCTACAAAGTAAACATGTACAAACTAGGGATGGCCTCTGTCTACGAGCCCAATACAGCTCTAGGCATGTCTAACAATAGCAATAGAAAGATTTATCATTGCCATTGTTTACGAAGCACTGACTTTTCTGTAGACAATATTGTTGTGTGCTTTTGAGTCAGAACTGACCCATAGCTGACCCTCTAGCGGGTTTTCAGAGGCAGCTAATCACACGAGAGGAGATTGTCCATCTTCCTCCTGCAGAGCGGCAGGTGGATTTGAACCGCATGCTTTCATGATTGCAGCACAGCTTCTTACTACGAGGCCATCAGAGCTCCCTTATAGGAGAAGAGGAATACCTCAGAGAAAGATAGTGGTGGAAGTGGTTGCATAACATGATGAATGTGATCAATGCCATGGAATTGCATGTGCCAACATTGTTAGATTGGCAAATGTTTTATTTATTAACTTTATGTTTATAATAATGATGATGAAAAGAGCTCTTAGAACCTGAGCCTGTGGTGGTGATTGATGACCACATGGCCAGATGCCTGAGGCTGCTCACCTGGTTCTCGCTCTCTCTCCTCCCAACCCCAGCCATCCCAGAGGCTATGACGTGTGAACACGAGCGGGCTGTGCACCTTTTTGTGGACTCTATGGTGAACCAGGACAAGCCGAGCTTTGCCTTCCGGTGCACAGACTCGACCCGGTTCAAAAAGGGCATCTGTCTCAGCTGCCGGAAGAACCGCTGTAACAGCATCGGCTACAACGCTAAGAAGATAAGGAATAGGAGGAACACGAAAATGTACCTAAAAACCCGAGGGGACATGCCTTTCGGAGGTAACCAGAGGTCTCTGAAGTGGCCCTGAAGAAGGGCCTTCCCTTTCCTCTTCCTTAATACCATGTTGAAGGGGTTCTGGTGGCACAATGGTTAAGTACTTGGCTGCTCGCTGAAAGGTTGTTGTTGTTTTGATTGCCTTTGAGTCAAGCACGACTCTTAGCGACCCTATGAACAAAAGACATGAAGCCCCTCTACAACTATCGACATTGTTCAAAGTTCATAGAGTTTCCAGAGGCATGTTGTTTAGGAAGTGTATGCCACTCTTGCTTCCAACACTGAAAGGCTAGTGGTTTGAAACTACCAGCCCCTCTGTGGAAGCAAGATAATAGTCTGCCTCTGTAAAGATTCCAACAGTCCTAAACCAAAAGCTGTCAACTCAGTGTCAGCTCATGGAGGTGTAAGTTTTAGTGGAAGATAAATGTTCACCTTTCTTCAATGGAGCAGCTAGTGGGTTTGAGCTGCTGACCTTTTAGTTAGCAGCTCAAGGCTTTGTGTGGGGCTCCACTGGAGCTTCTTTTTGTTAAGATTGAAGATTTACAGTCTTGTAAGCCCTGTGGGGGCACTTTTGCTCCATCATGTAGGGTCCCTATGAATTGGAATGAAATCTAAGGCAACAGAATTCAAACCACCTCCATTGCTGAGTTGATTGTGACTCTGGACAACCTTCTGTGGGATTTTCAAGGCTGTACATCTTAGTCGGACAAGATGGCCTCAATTTCCTCCCACAGAGTAGCTGGTGGATTTGAGCCCCTGACTTTGGTTAGCAGTCCAATACATGATGGACCTTACCACCAGGTCCCCTTCAATGATAACAGGGGGTAATACCAGGTTGCTGAACAGGATGCATCCTTGCTCAGGGGAGTGTCTTGGCACCATGACTGCCCAACCAAATAAATCACCAAATCTGACTTCATTTGTGTGCCAAGGAAACAGAAAAATAAGTGTTACACCATTTCCTTTGTGAATCATCACTTTGTGCTATGATATTACCTTGCATTTCTGTTTTGCATTTAACTCTCTCCCAAAGCTGTTTCATATTTGAATGTTTATTTTGATCTTCACAAGGTTAATACCTTGCTCTGTAATCGAAGGTCTTGCATGTAGAAAGTGGCCAGACCTAAAGCCCTGTATGGTCTCCTGTACCGTGAGCTCAAGGCTCTTTCCATCCTGCATTGAGATCTTAGAGTGTTGGACAGATGGGGCCAGAAGGAGGCTGATGCTGTGCTGGGCAGAAAAGGATGTTGGTCCCCAAATCTTCGGTATAATGATGACAAGCAGGCCTCCTCAGATGTCTTTATTCTCCTTACAGTGTATCATTATCAGTTGAAAGTTCACATCTTCAGCTACAAGAACAAGGGAAAGGTCGAGCCTACCTTTCACATCACCCTCTACGGCACCAACGCTAATTCGCAGACTCTGCCTTTGGAGATGTGAGTCACACTTTCCTTTGCTGGGTTCAGGACTGACAGTGATGGCTTCGGGATGAAAGCGGGCTCTCGAGCATTGAGCAAGGACAGGGGAGGGTGATCAGGTGCCGGGGGAGGAGCTGGGCAGACCTGGTCCCTCCTCACTTCCCAGCTGTGTGCTCACCTGTGTCTCACTCATTTCAGGGAGGGAGGCTCCGGGATGACTCGGCAGCATGGGAAGCCACAGGGATCAGCTAGGCAGAAACTGCTTCCTCATGCCCGGGGTTTCCCAACAGCAGAGGCTTTGGGAGAGTTGGAATGTCATATATGTCTCTCTTGGCACTTTTCTGATGACTCGGCTGTGGGCGGGGGACAGGGCTACCTGTGCATATTTGCTGAGCACCTGGGGTTGTGAGGAACTGTCCACAGAGTGGCTCTGGGTCTTGTGGGGAGATCAGCTGTGGACGCATGCACGAGCTCACAGGCCACGCAATGTCAAATGAGAGGGAGAGCAATGGAGAGCTAGTCTAGAGAGTGAGATCCCTGTGGGCTGAGAGGAACTTGTGTCTAGCGGGGACGTGACTTCTTTGCATGTCCTCATTTCTGCTTCCAAAGCAACAGCATGAGTTAGAGATGCACAGGACCGGGTGGGGGGAAAGTCTGCGAGCTCTGGGTCGCCTCTCTGTCCCCATTGTGCACCATGAGCTTCTGCTCTGGCCTTGCTGGTGGGAGGTGACTGGTCCAGGGAGAGGAGAGACCTTGTGCCCATTTCTCCGTAGCCTCTTTCCACGTGGTGTGACAATTTTAGAGTACAGGAAGGCGAGGTAACCTTCTCTCTCTTTGTAGAGTGGAGCAGATTGGTCTGAATGCCACCAACACCTTCCTGGTCTACACCGAGGAGGACTTGGGGGACCTCTTGAAGGTCAAATTCACCTGGGCAGGGACAACTCATTCTTGGTACAACCTGTGGACGGAGTTCCGGACCTACCTGTCTCAACCCCACAGTCCTTCCTGGGAGCTGAACATCAGGCGCATCCGGATCAAGTCTGGGGAGACCCAGCGCAAGTAAGGACCTGTGGCCCTTCTTCCACCTGGTGTGAGAGGGCGCTGCAGGCAGTGGCCTGTGCCTTGTCTTTTCCTTCTGTACAAGCACCAAGAGTGCACAGATGAACCAGGGTGAGGTTGCTGGGAGGTGCGGAGCAGGACTGACACGGGGAGGGTTGGCTCTTCTATGTCAGGCTGGAAGCCCATGTATCAGTGCACTGCTCCCCGGTTCCCTGTGGAGAGGAGTGAGTAAACCCAAAATCACTGCCTTTCAATCGATTCAAACTTACATTGATCCTACAGGACAGTAAAAATGCCCTGTAAGATTTTCCCGGTTGTAATATTTAAGGAAGCAAACTGCCTCATTGTCCTGAAAGTGGCTGGTGGGTTTGAACCGCCAACCTTTTAGTTAATAGCTGGAGATCTTTTCCTGGACAGGACTCTTCAGGAGTGCTGTCTTGTTAATCTGTTTACCATGGGACCATGCACTACAAGGCGTTATTTGCTCTTGTCTGCAAAGCCAAGTCCTGTCCGTGGAGCCCCCACATGTCCCGGGCTGCTGAGGTCTGTGTCATATCCCTCTTTCAGGGGTTTGAGTAAAGGACAGTGGACTAGGGTTCTAAATTAAAGTCACAGTGACTTCTTTGTCCCACGTCAGCTAGACACTTTCTTCTGCTTGACATGAAATCCCAGCCTGGCATGAAAGTTACAGACCTTCATACATCAGTCCTCACCTCACACCAGGACTTTGACAGGCCACTCTGCTTCTCAGTGAGAAGCAGGGAGGGAGCTGAGCCAGGGAGCGACCTTTGCCAAGAGAGGAGGTTTTCTGCCTAGAGCTCCGGCTGGTCATGCCAACCTTGAGAAGTGGGTGCGATGAAGCCCCAACCTCTTTGTCCCTGCCTGGCACTTTCTCCGTGGCCATTCTTCCTGTGACCAGGGCACATCCATCATCTGTGACAAGTCTGGCCGCAGAGGGAGGCCCGAGTCTCTTGTAGAATGATTTGTCTAGAAACCTGTGTGTCACATGGGGGCAAACTGTTAGTCCAAAGCCTCTGATCTGGATATTTGTGGATCTGTTTACCGTTGGCTCTTAACAAGTGTAAGCCGTGTCTCTGGGTGTGGTGCCAAAAAGATTATTATTTTTGTAAAATATTCCAAGTATAATAAACACCCATTAAGCAAGCCACCACTGAGCATTAACAAATGTAAGCTCTTTTCTATGTTGGTTCAGACTCTTGTTAAGGGCCACTGACTTGCTTCCAAGTCATGATGACTCTACGCAAGGAAACAAATATTGCCCAGGCCTCGACTAACCTCCAGACTGTTATGTTTGGGCCCATTGTTCCAGCCACCATGTCACTCCACCTCCTCACATGTCTTCCTGTGACTCTTCTAACCATCTCCTTTTACCAAGCCTGTTGTCCTTCTCCAGAGAACAGTCTCTCCTGATAGCATGTCCAAAGACCAGGTCTCACCATTCTCATTCCTAAGAAATATTCCGGCTGACCTTCCTCCAATATGCATTTGTTCATTCTTCTCACAGTCTCTGCTCTATTCAGTGTCAAAGACATCAGTTTTTCTTCAGTCTTTCCTGTTTATCGCCTACCTTATGCATGTGTTTGAGGCATTTGAAAATACTGCAGCTCAGTCTTCAAAAGGACACCTTTGCTTTTAAAACTCTTTATGAAGTCTTTTGCGGCACATTTGCACTTTGCAAGACATCGTTTGATTTCTTGACTGCTGCTTCTGTGGGCATTCATTGTGAACCTGAGTGAAATGAAGTCTTGACAGTTTTTATGTTGTTGCCACTGATGTTGCTTATTGATCTAATTGTGAGAATGGTGGTTTCCTTTAGGTTCAGGTGTAATCCATACAGAAGGCTGTAACTTCATTAGGGATTGCTTTAAGTTCTCTTCATGTTTAAGTTCAGATAAGAGATTTTTAAAAGTGAAACAGAGTTAAAGCCCTTTTACACCCTGTCCTTGTCCTATTACCTCTTGTTAGTATTTCTGTTTGAAGAATTCCTCGAGGGTACAGTTAAAAGGCTCAACTACTAGCCAAAAGGTTGGTGGTTCAAAGCCACATGGGGATGCCTCAAATGAGAGGCCTGCTGATCTGCATTTCTGAAGGGTCACAGTCTTGAAAACCCTACGAACGTGGAGTTGCCATGAGGCAAAATTGACTTACTGATGAAAAGTATCAACAACTTCTGTTTCTTTCCATAATTTGTTTCCAATGTATAGAAGTATTTTGGATGCTTCTGACTTTCAGATGAGAGGATGTATCATTTCATAAGTTGTTGGTTTTTTTTTTAAAAAAAATCACAGTTCTCCCATTACAATTTGTTAAATGCCTACAGATCGAGTGTATTCACAGTTGGCTCCTCTATGGAAATCTTCACTGAACAAAGAAACAACAATTTTATCACTCTTCTGTTAATTGTTTAAGTTGTTTCTAGTTTTTTTGCACTTGAGATGAACCTCCCTGTACATTTTCTGTGTGCATGTGTCTGAGGCTTTCTTTGGGGAAATGTAAACCAAAATGATTGGATGTTTACAAGGCGGAGTGACTCAGTGACTCCCACATACCACTGTGAGAATGGTGCAGAATTAGCTCTGAGTAGTTCTGTTGTAGACAGGTTTCTAATGACTTGGAACTGACTTGATGGCACCCAACAATAACAACCAACCAGAAAGTAGATTTCCTAGGGTATATCTTTTCCAACTTGACTCCTGGCGACCCTGTATGTTTGAGGAGTTTTTGATCTAGTGGAGGCATTAACCATAGAGAGAAGCACTGACAAGTAATTCAAGGTAGTAGATAATGTTTTAAAAGAAAACATTCATTATTAGCTCCATGCTACAAAAAGTAATAATAATAAAAAGACCAGCATTAATAGAGGATATGCCTTTTGCTGAATTGAATGGTCAAAGGAGGGTTAGATTCATGAGGCTTTAGAACTTTACAGAACTTTGAAAGACAAGTGAGCTTTGGGATGGACAGAGGGAGAGTGGGGGAGAGATGTGGTTCAAGTGCATGAGACTGAATGATGGAAACGTTTAAAGTGCGAGAGAAAAGTCCTGGTGCAGTGACGGAAACTCTACAGCTCTTGAGTCAGGGTGCAGTGTGATGAAAACATCCTTCCTCGTTTCATCCACGTGGAATCCAGAAGCGCCACTGAGTTTATACACATTCATGCCCTCTCCCTAGATTTTTGCTTTATCGGTGGTTTCTTTTTCTGCCTAGGATGGCTTTTTGTGTAGAAGATCCTGAGAAAACCAGCATATCCCCTGGCCAGGAGCTCTGGTTTCACAAATGTCAAGATGGCTGGAGAGTGAAAAACCAAACCAGGTAACCAGGGATTCCCCACAATATCCCCTTTAACATCTAGCACATGTGGTCTGGGCACTTGGGATAGAGAAGTGAGGAAAATAGATGAAAGCCCCTTCCCTTCTGGAGCTGACTTGTGAGGCTGAAAGGAGGATAGGAAATAGATGAGTGACATCTATAGTATGCTGGTGGTGTAATTGTTCCCACTGGCTCTAAGTCTGTATTGCCTTGTAGGAAGGAGGCCAATTATCGAGTCCAGTGGAAGGGTAGTTATACATCCTCCCTAACTGAGAGTCTTCTACATGGTAACTAGTATAGGTGGAAGCTTCCCCAGTTCTGGATATATTCCTGATTGCCATATTGGAGTTGGGTGGGCGGTAAAGGAGAAATGCACTTCCTTAGTCTTAGGTATCCTAACACTCAGGTCAGCATGTGTGGGTACTGGAGGGCTTGATTCTCTCCTTTTTTGAGAAGCACAAAAATCTTGTGTGTGAAGCAGAGTCAGACAATTCCGCTGTCCAACTTTAGTATCTCACTGTCTCATGCTAAAATCCTCATTATTCTAGAATTGAGGAAGGCCATTCTCATGGTGAGAGGCAGTGGGCTCATCCCAAAGGATACTCATCACATTCACTTAGAATCTAAATATTGGCTGAAAGAGAAGGAAGGTTTTTCTCCGTCCATCCCTGGCTCCCATCCAACTTGGGTACTAGATTGTAATACACTGCTATTTACTGAGCACTTAGTGGGGGTCCTTCCCATGTTCTGTGCTGGCCTCATTTCATTTCATCATCAACCTTGTGAGGCAGTATTGTTATTCTAGTGTTGTTGTTTTTTATTGCCTTTGAGTCGAGCACGACTCATAGCGACCCTATGAACAAAAGGCCTACAGCCCCTCTACAACTATGAACTCCATGAACTTTGATTCTATGTACAGATGAGGAAAACGGAGGCTCAGGGAGAGCTAGTGGTGACAGAGAGAGAATTTGCAGTCTGCTTTCTCCTTGAGTGTAGAGTCGCCTTGCTTCAGATAAACCATGCCACCTCGGCCTGGCTGTCAGTCATCAAGCAGCTGTGTCTGTCCTGGGGTCCCTTGTGATTAGATATCTGCCCGCTGTGGGGCAGAAGATTTCCCACTGCTTTAGCTCCTGCTCACAACTGCCCATCTTGTTGAAGGGCAATAAGCTGCCTATCTTATTAAGTGGCACACAGACGAGCATAAACACGTGTGGTTTTCTGCTATCATAATAATTTTGTTTGTATTCAGGTCTATACCTTTTAATGTGCTCCCCTCTATATTATTATCAATGACCCTCAGAACAGCTGTGTAGGTTGGAGTTTCCAGCAAAGATTACTATGATAAGATAGTAAGA